TCCTTGTTCTTTCCTTTTTGAACTTGTTTACAGTTTTGATATTGGGGAAGTATTCTTTCTTAGTATTCTCTTTGGTCTTAGTTCTCAGAAACTCTTTGCTTTTCTCTATTTGATCTTGTCCCAAGCTAAAATTTTCTTTCAGACAGGGAAAGGTCCTGAAATTTTCTCCTTACTCCAGCTATTTTAAATATTTAATAAATATCTTAATATAGCCAAGGTAATAACTATTCCTAATGAGTTACAGTTATTACCACCTCTAGCTTTATTTTGGTTCTCATCCCTGTTGGGCAGAAAGACAACTGCTGTCCCAATCATTCGGTAGAACACACTTCACAACTCTGAGAACACTTGATGTTTGGTTTGATGTTATTGTCAGTACATTAGCAGACAAATAGTTTCTAGTTATATCCGGGTCATGAATCTATTTCAAAGAATTTGTCCTATCCAAGAAAAATGAGGTCAGACATATCGTCTGTTGGAATGGAGGGTTTCTCCACAATCTAAAATAGATGTTTAATAGCCTCAATAATGCATTAATAGTGTGACTTGGACACTTTCCATCCCAAAGACCATCCATACAGGAAAAGAGAAATTTGCTATTTCTCCAACTAATCTGTTATTTTTAAATGGAAAAAAACCCCTCTATCCTCATTTAAAAAGTAAAATAGTTGTTCCCCATTTTCACATCTTTTAGTTTTCTCTCTCTCAAAAAAGGAAAATTATTAATCTACCAATTTCCAGTAAAAGTCCTATTCAAAACATAAACAACACATAGCCCCCAAAACAAAGGAAATTTTTATTATTGCTACTTTTTATTTATTTTATTTAGATTTCACCTGAAATAGGCTCAATTTTGCTTAAAATGTCAACTTTGGGGCTACGTTAGAAAAAAAATCATCCTGTACCAGAAGACAGACAATTTCAAGTTAAACTGGAAATAATCTATATCGCCTAACTAGGAGCTCTCCACCACAGTTGCCAACTTCCAACTTTACCAAACAAGTAAAGAAACTAAGTCATTGTGATTTCATCGTGCTTACTTAATATGAGCTGATTAGAATTTAATATGAGCTGGTTAGAAACTATGAAGTAAATTCTACTTTATGTCCCCATGACTATTTTGTAACTACCAATTTGTACTTCTTAATCCCTTCACCTTTTTCACCCATCCCCGACCTTCCCTCTCCTCTGGCAATCATCAGTTTGTTCTCTGTATCTATGAGACTGTTTTCGTTTTGTTTGTCCATTTATTTTGTTCCTTAGATTAAACAAATAAGTGATACCATGTGGTATTTTTCTTTCTCAGTCTGACTTATTTCACTAAGCATAATAACCTCTAAGTCCTTCCATGTTGTTGTAAATAGCAAGATTTCATTTTTTTTATGGCTAATATTCTATTGTATTATATACCACTACTTCTTTATCTGTTCATCTATTGATGGGCACTTAGGTTGCTTCCATATCTTGGCTATTGTAAATAGCACTGCAGTGAACATAGGGGTGCATATATCTTTTCGAATTAGTATTTTGGTTTTCTTTGGATAAATTTCTGAGTCATAAGGTAATTCTATTTTTAATTTTTTTGTGGAATCTCCAAAGTGTTTTTCATAGTAGCTATACCAATTTGCAGTCCCACCATTACTAAGAGCTATTCTGACATAAGTCAGGTGATATCTTATTGTAGTTTTAATTCACATTTCTCTGATAATTAATGACCTTGAGTATCTTTTCACATGTATTGGCCATCTGTCTGTCTTCTCTGGAGAAATACCTATTCAGGTCCTTTGTCCATTTTTTAATTGGATTGCTTGCTTTTTTGGTGTTGAGTCATATGAGTTCTTCATAAATTTTAGAAATTAACTCTTTATCAGACGTATCATTGGCAAATATCTTCTATTCAGTAGGTTGTCTTTTCGTTTTGGATGGTTTCCTTTGCTGTGCAAAAACATTTTAGTTTGATGTAATCTCATTTGTTTATCTTTTCTTTTGTTTCCCTTGCCTGAGGAGATATATCAAAAAAAAATTACTAAGAGCAATGTCAGAGAGTCTGCTACCTATGTGTTCTTCTAGTTTCATGGTTTCAGGTCTTACATTTAAGTCTTTAATCCGTTTTGAGTTTATTCTTATATATGTGTAAGAAGGTGGTCCAGTTTCCTTTTTTTGCATATATCTGTCCAGTTTTCCCAAAACTATTTATTGAAGAGACTGTCTTTACCCCATTGTATATTCTAGCCTCCTTTGTCATAGATTAAATGACCATATAGGTATGGATTTATTTCTGGGCTCTCTATTCTGTACCATTAGTCTATGTGTCTATTTTTATGTCAGTACCATGCTATTTTGATTACCATAGCCTTGTAGTGTAGTTTGATAGCAGGTAGTATGATACCTCCAACTTTTTTCTTCTTTCTGAAGGTTGCCGTGGCTATTTGAGGTCTTTTATGGTTCCATGTAAATTTTAGGATTATTTTTTCTAGTTATGTGAAAAATGCCATTGGTTTTTTGATAGGGATTGAACTTAATCTATAGTTTGCTTTGGGTAATATGGACATTTTAATGATGTTGATTCTTCCTATCCATGAGTACAGTATATGTTCCCATTTATTTGTATCTTCTTCAATTTTGTTCTTCAATGACATAATTTTATGAGTACAGGTCTTTTATCTCCTTGGTTAAACTTATTCCCAGGTATTTTTATTTTTTCAATGCAATTGTAAATGGCATTATTTTCTTAGCTTCTCTTTCTGATAGACATTATATCTTAAACAAATCAGAATTTTTTAAAAAATCCTTGTCGGTTACAATGAGAACTGATACATTTCAGTATGAGTAAAAATCTAGTAAAACTGAAAATGTTTTCAACTACCCAAACCAATCATTGAAAGTAAATTATAAAGTTTGAATTACTTACCAGGAATAACATAAGGAATAACATAAGTCTCCCAAACAGGTTTAAAATATTAAAAACATTTGCTTTTATTGTACCTTTTCCTTATTATTCCCTACTTAGATACAAATTATCATCTTTTATATAACTGCTGGCCGATGGGCTAAACAAGGAGAGCCTTCTAAAATCTCTACTAATAAGTTATATAAACTGCTTATTTTTATTTTGAATACAGGTATCAAAGGTCAAAGACTTTTTTTCTTTATCCCAGTTTTTAGCTTTAATAGAACAAGAGAAATTAGCACATAGAGGATCAAATTTGTCCACTTAAAGCCAAGAGGGAAAAGGAAACTGAAGCAGGTAGCAGGTGCTTGTTACAATGTGAGGGGCTGAACTATGACAAAATCATAGTTTAAATATAATTTTTGTTGGGTGAAAATTTAATGAATTTGAGGAAATGGAAGAAACTCAGAACCCATAGTTATTTCCATTTTAAATGAGGATGATAGTTCTGCACCACCAGCTGTTTATAGTTCATTGAATGAGGTTCTAGTTGATAGGAGATAATTATCTCTTCCCTACAGGAGGCAAGTGTTTCTCATTCTGCAGACATCTCTGATAAATGGCCATGGGAGTATGAGACCAAGACAGCATGCCAAGTTCAGTTTGGTTTTTAATGATCTCTTTAAACAGTAGATTTTCTACTTTTTCCAATTTAAAAAAAATGTGTACCTTAAAATATACAGAATCGATTTACTGGCTATTATTTTGCTTTTATAAGACACCTTAACCTTAAAAGGAAAGCAGAGTGATTGTACATAGAAAGTATACCATCGATAGTATTAGAAAAGGATAGGCATGGTCATTTCAACTTTTTGAGTGTCAAAGACTTCTTACTAATTCATTGTTTTTCCCTAAAGACTATTCTATCTTTAAGTGCCTTGTCAGTTAATGATGCTTCCATTTTCATAGTCATTTCAGGCCTTTCACCTACTTGGAAAGGCCTCTCAATTCTATTTTCACACTCTCTGTCAAATTTGTCTCTTAATTTCCAATGCAAACTGCCACATACCTCAATATTTCTCACCTGCCATATGGTCCTCAAATCCTAAATGGTCTCCTTGTTTCCAGTCTCTTCCAAATACTAACACAGTTCAACCAAACTACTACTCTCAGATTAATATCACTAAAGTACCACTCTCATCATGCCACTCTTAGGTGTAAAAAACTTTCAAAAGTAGGCTGTAACTCCAAAATAGGAAAAACCTTATAGCAGATGAAGCAAAAAAACAAAATTCAAAAGTAAATCGATTCTATCCTTATAAATATGTAAGATTGGGTATGCATATTAATAATTAGAAGAGAACACCAAAAAATGAAAAGAATAAATTTACAAGGGCCTGGGACTTGTAGTTTACCCTTGATTTCTGTTTCCTATATGTTGCATAATGATTTCTATGCAATAAATAAAATATTTCAGTAACCACTTACTGTTTATACACCAGAAAGCTTATCCTGCACCCAAGGACCTCTGCAATCTGGCTCCAAACCTATCTTTTTCCAGCTTATTTTCTATCCCTCCTTTCACATAATGCAAAACTCCAGACAAACTAAAATATCCCATTTCTCATTGGGCTCCTATATTGCTCTTTCCCAGCCATGGACTATTACTCACATCATATACTCCAGCCAGTGTGCTCTTCTCCTCTTCTATGCGTCTAAATCCCACCTAATTATCCTTTACAGCTTAGTTCAAATAATACCTTTTCCACAAAGCTATCCCTGACGTCTCCTTCCTCCGATGAGCATTTCATCTGAATCTCTTATATAAAACGTTGCACTCTTTATTTTGTATTGTAGTCATGAGCGTGCGTCTGTGTCTGTGTCTGTGTGTGAAGTAGCTCCCTTTAGGACAAAGGCCTTGTTTTAGCCATCTTTGTATTACACTCAAGGCATAAATAACATAGTCTTTCTAAATAAATATGTAAAATGAGTGAGTAAAAACTCTCAAAAAGAAAGGGCTAACAAGACTACAAACCAACAGCAACTCTTTTAGTTTTATTATGATTTTCTTTCTTTTTTCACTCAAGCTTAGTTCTTAACCAAACATTACCTGAAGATATGTTATTCTCCGCTGGACCAGCTCTGTCAGATCTTTGGCCTCCTTTTCCCGCCAATCACCTGCTCCATCTGTTTGGCTGAGGTAGTATAGATCCGTCATTATAGACCTATGAAAGGAAACAACACTGGAAGTCTTACTTATTTGTACTTCATCACAGAATTACACAATCATAAGAAGAGAGTCAAATTCTTCATAAAGATTGATGCTCACACTGATGTTTACACTCATCTTTTACTTTCTATCAAGGCTGTGAAATTCAACAATTAGTCTCTAACACTCAAGATTTATTCCTATTGTAAATTTTTACTGTTGAGAAAAATCTACCTTTTTTTTCCCCCCGGGTGAGTCAGGTATACCTATTCCCCAACACAAAGCACTACAGAGACCAGGGTATAGTGGATATCCATGGCAAAA